ATGGGGGGAAGGAAAAGCAGAACAAGTGAAGATGTTTCCAGGAGGGTCCAGGAAGAGTCCCCCCTGTCCCGGCAGAAGGGAGGCTTACCTCTGAGAAACCCGTGTCAATCCAGCTGGGTGCCCGCAGGAAGGATGGCATCCGAAGGTAGAAGGGGCTCAGGGAAGTAGAAGTTGGGAAGAGGTCAGTGTCCAACAGGTGCTCTCCGAAGAACTGGTCGAAGAGGCGGCTGGGGGAGTGGAAAGGGAAGAAGGGGCGTCGGATCCAAGGGTGGTGGATGGCGATGTCCATGGTGGCTAGGTGAGTGTTGGGGGTCAGCTGGCTAGTCAGCTCTTTCAGCTGCAGCTACAGCCAGCCCCTTATATACACAGTCTTGTGAAGCTTCTGGAATGGTGATGTCAGGGGTTTTATTATCCCAGCTCACTGCCAGTTCATGGAGACTTGTGATTGGGGATTTGGCAGTGTGACACATACCCAGTACTCACTGAGCTAAGAAAAGAGAAATACAAACACGTCTGAGCTGGCCAGTGACTTGTCCTGGTCTTGTCTCACTAGCTTTCTGTCCACACCCACTATGGCATCCCCAACCCCCTTTCTCTGGCTCTGGGACTGAGTCAGGAATCCCAAGCCCGTGGGGTGCTGTGCCCCTCCTCTGCTTCTCCAGCTGAGCTTGCCAGGGGATTGGGCCAGGGACTATCTTGGGCCTGGGAAGGAACTGGAATATTCCTAGGCTGGGCCCGGGACATTAACCCTTTGTTGGTGCCTGAGGGACAGCAGTTTTCACCATCGTCTGTGCAGCATCCTGGGCTGACTTGACTTCAGAAAGGGACCCTGACATTAGTCTTGGTATGAAGACCTTCTCCCCCAAACCCACTCCCCCTTCATCTCAAAGAAAGCAGAATGTTTCTTGCATCTTTTACCTAACGTGATTGGCAGAACATTCAATCCAGGAGAGTTTTATGAGGTGGGGTGCAGGGTGTCTGGGACAGGGGAGAGGAAAAGATGGTGTGGGTAATGTGCAAACTGGAGTTGGGGGTGCTCAGCCAGGCCTCTCCAGGTTATCTGGCACCAGCCTCAGCTCCCCAGCCTGAGCCCTCAGCTGTCTTCTCAGGCCCAGGGCAACAGCTGAAGGACATGTGGGGGGAGGGTAGGTAGGAAATGAGGGGGGTCCGTGCACTGCTGGTCACACAGTCATTCCTGGCACTTAGGGCTGGGCTCCTCGCCCCTCCCCCCACCCAGGCTAGGCACTATTTTGGGTGGTGTAGACCCCGCCCCCGCCTCCGACAGAGCCAGGCTCTCTGGGCAGCTGGAGGGGTCCCGCAGCGCCTGTTGGGGCAGCAAGTCCAACCAGGGCCACCTACACATCCGCAGCCATGTCGGGCCGCTCGGTGCCACATGCCCACCCGGCCACCGCGGAATACGAGTTTGCCAACCCCAGCCGCCTGGGTGAGCAGCGCTTCGGGGAAGGTAAGGCACGGAAGCCACCTCCTTGCCTTCCACCCCCACCTCCCGAAATTCTGGGCAGATTTCCCAACCGTGCTGGCCACTACCCCATTCAGGGCTTAACTGAACTCTAGGGCCAAGCTCTCCCCCACCCCAGAGTGCGGGCCACCCCAGCAAGCTGAGCGCTTCCCCTTCTCTGACCTCAGTGCAGGCTTGGTGGTGCTGGTGCTGCTCTGGTGCCTGCTCCCACCCCTCGCAGCAGCTCACCCTAGGTCCCCTCAGCCCACCCAGACCTAACACGGTTTGCTCCCCTCCGCAGCTGCCCTCTACGTTCCTTTCTCAGTCCCCTCGCCCCAGCTCGCCCCAGCTACCGCTTCCCCTCTTCGCTCCCCTTCCCTCCTTCTCCTGACGCCCCTGTCCCTCAGCTCTTCCCCAGTGCTCTTTGGATCTGCCCTCCTTTCATTCCTGGTCCCACCTCATCCTGCCTGGTGCCTTCTCTCTCTCTGCCCCTTAGGTCTCCTTCCAGAAGAGATCCTGACCCCCACCCTCTACCATGGCTACTATGTGCGGCCCCGGGTCACCCGAGCAGGGGAGGGCAGCAGGGCAGGGGCCTCGGAGCTCAGACTCAGTGAGGGCAAGTTCCAGGCGTTTTTGGACGTGAGCCATTTTACCCCAGATGAGGTGACCGTGCGGACTGTGGACAACCTGCTGGAGGTGTCTGCCCGGCACCCCCAGCGCCTGGACCGCCACGGCTTCGTCTCCCGAGAGTTCTGCCGCACTTATGTCCTGCCTGCCGATGTTGACCCCTGGCGGGTCCGCGCTGCCCTCTCCCACGATGGCATCCTTAACCTGGAGGCGCCTCGGGGTGGCAGGCATTTGGACACAGAGGTCAATGAGGTGCACATCTCCCTGCTCTCTGCACCTCCTGATCCAGAAGAAGAGGAGGAGGGCAGAGTTGAGGCCTGAGTGCTACAGACCTGGCACCCAAGCGAATCCTGAATACCCGCGGTTTATGTGAGCAGCTGCCCACCAGCCTAGAGGGAGATCATCCTTGGGGCAAGGGAGAGGGGCGTGGTCCACAATGTATAGTTTGGTCCCTTGGGACGTGCATTGCCTTTGGTTTAGTTCTGGGTGGATGTGAATAAACCCAAATCTCAGGGTCTTGTTTGTGCTGCTCCCTATGTTGTGACCTGGAAGATGGCGTGGGCAGGGAGGGAGGCCATGACACCACCTAAACAAAAAGCTGCTCAGTTTGATGTGCTCACATCACAGCACCCCAGCTCACTCCTGGATGCTGAGATCACACCCAGAAGCTGACACTGGCTCCCGTCCAGATTCCTACCCATAGTTTTCTCACAGTGCAACAAAAGAGAGAGTTATCCTGAGAGGGAAAGGGATAAGCCAGCCAAACATCCCAGAGAGCTCTGTCTGAGCTGGTGATTAGAGACACAAAGACAAGGGTCTCCAGGCTGTCTGACCTGATTGGGGTAGGGGTTGGGAAATAGTTTTTAGCTGGAGGTAGTTACCTAAAGCCCTGCTTACCCATGCTGAGATCTGTCTACCGAAAAAGGTCTCTGATTCTGAGAGCATATGCATGTACCCTGGGGCACAGACGCAGTCTCTGCCATTGTCACCAAACCCCAAAGTCTTCCCACCATATGCAAAGGAGGGGCCCTGGAGAGAAAGTGTTGGAAGGTCTCTAATCTTAGAATACCCAGAAGAGAGGAGTCATTGCAATCCACCCCCACCTCCCCATTTCAAGACCAAATGCAAGTGATCAGGGCTCTTGGTGATGAGGAAAAACTTCTTTTGAAGTAGAGTTTTAATACTAGTAGTAGGAGTATTGCGTGTACAGAAAAACCTGAGTGTCTGAGCCCTCAATTACTTGATATTCATGAGAGCATGCTGTGTATGGCTTTAGGAGTATCCAGAAGACCTTCCTGTACCCAAATAAATATTTCACCAAGCTGGATGGAATCCTGACGTTCTCCCTTAAAGTGGTTGCATTTTTGGGGTTGCAGACCCATTTGAAAATGTGACAAAAGTTATAGATCCTCTTACCAGAAGATACACAGATGTTCCCAAGTTGGACATGGATCTGTGGGCCACATGGATAAGAATTCTCACTTGCAGAATGCAATTTTTTGTTAAAGAATTGCTGCCTATTAAAAGTGAAAGCATGCTTCAGAAAATAAGTAAATATTGCCTTTTGTTGTCTACTCTCAAGAATCTTTAATGTCTAGTTGAGAAGAAAAAGAACTTTAAAAGGAATCTTGTTTAGATTTCAACCAGAACAGCTTCACATTGATATGTTTTTAAGTGGAGTTTCTACATGTGGTGTGTTTGTTTTTTTTTTTAAGAGTTTCTTAGCTAGAAAAAAGTTTTTTAAACATCTGATTTAATTCAGATTTCCTACTGCATTTAAGTACTTTTTAGACATCAGTCAATTTCTGGACATTTTGAGTGATAAAGAACTTAAAACCTTATAAACTAGCCCAATTCTTTCTCCTTCTGTACATATCAATTACAAATTCTTCTATTAAACAAAAATCTGCATTTCAGTAACTTCTGCCCATATATCCAGAAAATAAATGCAATCTTTCCTTGATGTCTATCCTCTTAAAAGTAACCACCCTATCTTCTTAAGGTTTCCTTTCCCAACTAAACATGCCTTTTTCTTTTCATCAGACAGCTTTCTCTTGAACACACTGCCTTTGGTGGTATCACTTGAAATTCATCTTGTAGACCTAAAATTGTTATTCTGGTCACAAACTGACTGGTACCTATTTTAATAACAAATGAATAATCAATGCCTTCCTTATCACTCAAGGCTTCTGTTAACACCATTTCAGGTTTGTCAGGTTTTCTGTCTGTCACAATACACCATTGGTTCCTTTGGAGTTTATGGTCAAGTGTTTTTCTTTCTATCAGAGATGATGTGGCTGGAAAGGGGCCTGATTATAAAGGGCTTTGAATGGCAGCCTTAGAAATCTCGATAACAAGATGAAAAGAATCAGCTAATGTAGGTTTCAGAATGGATTTGCAGGGAGATGCATACACTTGTGCAATAATCCAGCACAAGACAATAACGGAAGATGATTTACCATCTAACACTTCTCTAGGAACAAAAAGTAATAACACTAAGACTTTCTGAGAGCTTCCTGTCAGTTTCTAGAGTAGTGCTTGATATGCATTATCTCATTTAATCTCCACCATAGCCCTGTTGACAAGGAAAAGAGATGGGCAGAAGTGAGGAGCCCAGGGTACTCTCTGTGGTATGCAGCCTGACTGCGCCTGCATCCTGAGCAGCTACAAAGGCTGGAGCTGGAATAAGTTCTCATTTCCATGAAACTGGAAATGAGAATAAGATGGAATGAGAATACTGCAAACAAGCTTTTTGGGTTTCCTAATTCTCCCCAAGTCCATATTTTCTACAGAGAAATTAGCTTGACTGCATCCTAGTTGCTGATGAGTGTGAGGAGAAACTGAATTGACGGATTAAGTGGAGTTTCTGTAGGTCTGTACTAGGGAGGGAGAAATGAGTGGTTTAAAAGTGCTGAAGCAAAAAAAAAAAAAAGTGCTGAAGCATTGTAATTGTTGAATCATATGATTTTTGACCAGAAAATGGATTGCATAATAAGTTGAGTCCCTCATTTTACAATTCTAGAAAAAAGTGATTTAATTGCAATAGCCAGGGAGAATAAAAAAGGAATTCATTTTCCTAAATCTTAATTTCCAGGAGAGTTCAATATTCAAACCCAGAATCTGATAGGGACAATAAGAAACTGATACTGATTATCTTGAAAGTGAAACTCAAGTGCTGGGGAGATGTCAAGTAGGAGGCTCTACTCTTATTATGGAGAGTGTATTTCAGTGAAGTGTGAGGAAGCAGAGAAGCACTTACAGAGGAAACCAAGAGCCCCTTTTCATTGACGCTTGAGGCCCAAAGACCCTGGTTTCTTCAAAGCAGCTCCAAATTCTAAGGTGAGATGACGTACCTGGAGCCAGTGTGTGTTCCTCTACCCTTTGGCTAGGAGTCACCTGGGAATCCTTCCAGCAGGTGGCTTCCAAAGTCCAACCTGCTGGGTTGAAACCTGACACTTGACAGACTCGGCAGGAGCTGCCACAGAAAGTGGAACCAGGAACCAGGAAATGCAGGAGCCTCTTTACGTAGAAAAACAGCTGGGCTCCTTCGGAATCAGAGCGCCATGGGAAACTGGCTGTGCTGTGGGGGAAGCTGGTGAGTAGGGGCAGAGGGTGAGGTTGATGGGTGTCAGTGCACTTGGAGTCTCGAGAATAAGAGAGAACCTGCAAATGGTTCTTGGTTGGTCATCCTCCCACGACCTCCTTCCTAGCCTGGTATCTCTGGTGCCCATACCACAGCAGCACCTCTGTGCTCACTACTCTCAGGAGACCTCAGCAAACTCAGCCTTGTCAGCTTTCTGCAGAATGACCAGAGCAGGGCTAGATGGTGGATCTTCATTGTTTCTCTTTGTGCTTGTCTTCCTTTCCTTTTAGCATTTGAGAGTTTACTATGGGGCAATTGTTAAATTGTATTTAATTTTTCTAACAATTCCACGAGGTCTGTGGTCTTACCCCTCCTCCTGTTTTACAGTGAAACAGCCCAGAAGCTCAGATTCAGAGAAATTACCGTGTTGGCGGTCATATGACCAGTAAGCAAATAAACCCAGATTCCAATCCAAGCCTGTCAAATAGTGCCTCTCAGATCAAGCAATGTTTATTTAAAAGGGCAAAAGTAGGGAGGAGGATATCCATGGAATATTTGAATATAACTTTCACACGTACTGGCTATGTGACCTTCAGCAAATCCTGTAACTTCTCTTTTTATTCATATACAAATTATTGATGATGTGACCCACATTGTTTAAATCAATTTAAAGAGCAAAGGATATGTGACAATCTCACAATAAATTATTTGGAGTATCTTTATTGTTCTTTCTTAGAGTTATCGCTATAAATCTCTGGTTTATCTCATCCATGCCTTAAGCTTAGCCTTAAGCTTGTCTCATTTATGATGAAACCATGTTCGTTTTTAGAGAGAAAGGTGAGGTACATGAGAAAAATAGATATGGCAGACTGATGAAGAACACTGCTGATGGGAGAAATGGGCAAGACAGGAGACGTCCGCCATGCCATGTGGGTCACCTCCCTGGCGGGGTGATCAAGCCCTGCCAAGGTGGCTGCGGCTAGCTTCCAGCTTCAGTGCTGGGCTTTAACCCACCAGGGAGGGCCTCCCCCAGATGCCCCCCAAAAAAGTAATTTTTTAAATTCTGAGATGTCTTACAGACTCAAGATATCTAGAAACATAGAAGCTTCTAGAGACAGTGTAATAGCTTTTTTTTTTACCCCCATTCCCTTTCTTTCCAAGTTCCCTTCTTTAGTTTTGGCTAGTTCTTCCTGGTGGTCAGCCATTACTGACACTGATTAAATGCTTAGCTAAGAAATTTTACTAGTTGATGTAATACTTACAATAATCCTGTGAGATTTAATTTCTATATTCTCATTTATAAGAAAATAAGAAAAATTATTAATTTGCTGAAGGTCACACAAGTCTGATGTTATCTGTCTGACTCCACAGTTGTGTCTAGAAAAGATACCAGATATTCTAAGCAAATTACCTTTTTATCATAAAATATCAGTAAGCCCTGGATAAGAATTTTCCTCTATGTTTCATGATGCCAGAGACATAAAAATATTATAACAAATGAAAAAATTTTAAATATTTTATGAGTATGAAAGTAATACACATCCTTAGAAGTTATGGAAAATATCAAAACAAAAAATAAAAAGGAACCATAAACATAAACACTTAAAGATACAGAACATTTTAGTATATTTCCATGTTATCCTTTTGTATAATTCCATGTACATAGTTTTTGCCCCCAGATATCTTAGCTTTTAATTTATTACATGAAAGAGTAAAAATTTCCATGCTCTTGAAAGTTCTTTCACTATCTTTTTGAGAGCTTGTTCAGAGGCTTAGCAGAGAGCATACCCTTGACTTGCTGTCTCCGTTTGGGGAAGGCTGCCCCATTCCACCAAGCGCAGCACCAGAAGCAGAGAGGGAGGAGGGGCTCCTGCCCCACTGGCCAGATCAGCTGGGAAACTCCTGGCAATCTGTGGGCTGACCTGTGGTAGCCATTTTGTTCTCATATCCCCAACATCTTTCTTAAATGGACATTGACTAATGTTTCATTGATGAGCTATACCATTTATTTAAGTAGTTACTGATGTTGGACAGTTGAGATATTTCCTATCTTGGGCAATTATAAATAATGCTACAGTGAACATACTTTTTCTTAGGATATGGAATTGCTACAACCTAGCATATACCCATTTACATGTAAGGCTGCTTATACTTATTGCCCACTGCATTCTAGAAAGATAGCACCAACTTTTATTCCTACTACCAATATAGGAAAGTGCTCCTTTAGTTTTCTTAAATCTAAGCTGAAAATAAAATCCTACCACCTACAAATCAAATCGAATAAGCCTTGGGACTGTGTCCAACCATTGTGCAATATTCAACATAGGGAACAGACTCTGTTCACTAAGGTTGAGTAACCCATGTCTATGCTATTTTAGAATTAATATTCTCTTTATCCATTTAAGTAAAGTAAGTAGGAAGACAACAGTGACACAGGACAAGGAATTAGAAGCTAGGATACAGCTATGACTAAGCAGCATTAAGAGATAGGAGGAGATGGAAGAAAATAGAAAGATCCAGGGATAGTTTCAATGGTTTTCTTCTGAACCACCCGTGGAGTTCAGATGAAGGCCTATGGGTCTTAGGGTAATGGGTCTCAACTCAGCAATCTGCAGTAAACCAAAAACAAAACTAAAACACAAATCTCTGTCAGATGTGTGGAAAAATTCCATAGAAGTGAGATGCACATGATTTACAACTTTCTCTCTCATTAGCAAAAGAAGAAAACTTCCACAAGGAGACATAAATCAGACAAATATGGTTGGCTGTGGTGACAGTTGGAAATGTACGGGCAAGAAAAAAAATGGGAAGTAAGTCTGAAACTATGCTGCCTGTTTCCTCATACAAGTGTTTCTGTGGCCATCAAATGCTTGAGAATCAGATAGACATACTCCACTGGGACACCAGAGACTCAGAAATGAATGTAGGAGGTCTGTCCTGCAATGAGGGTGCGGTAGCTGAGTCACTCACCAAATTCAGAGCTCCCTGTGCTCTGGATATTAAAGGTTAAATATCTCTCACTTTCTCTGTTAGTTAAAAGCAAGGACAGGAAGCAAAAGGGAGGTCCTGTTAGGAAAGAGCTTGCAGGGACCCTAACAAGTTAACTCCTATGACCCTGAGTTGGCAGAGACCTTGGAAAAAAGATAATGGAAGAAAAAGCAAGAGGGTCTCTGAATCCAGGAATATCCCATTATTTGGCAGATTTCCCTTGCCCTCTGTTGGGATTAGCCTGTGACAATCCCAGAATAGACCACAACCCAGCTTCATCCCTGGCATGCAATGCCTGGCTGAGTGAGGTTGTATTTTGGGTTTAGTCATGTCAGTTGTAGCACTTCACTTTCCAGAACCATCCCTCTGGGAGATGTGTGGTACTCTTGCTGAATGGTTTGGGGCTGGCTCATGGTAAATCTTTGTTAGAGGCAGGTGGGAAAGGTCATCCTAGAATGTTGAGGAGCCCACAGAGCAAGTGATTGAGGAAAGACAGACTCTTACACGTGGGTGACCTGTTTTTCTTTTGACAGGAGCTGCCTATCGCCTTTTCAGCGGAAAAAGAAGACGGGTAACTGCAGGGGTGGGGGGTGATGTGCAAATTATATAAGAAAATAGAACCAACTTCTTTGGAAAGGACATAAAGGTGGAGAAGAGGAAGCCTTGGACAAAAGGAAAGGGTAAACTAAAGAGAATCCTTAGGCAACTGAGTTCAAGATCAGCTCTAAGACCCAGGTCTGATCCTCCCCATTATCTCAGAGTGGCACCTTTGACCGCTCATTCTTTCATTCATCCATCACAAGTGCTCGTATGTGAGGCATGCTACTGGGAACCCAGGAGGCACAAGAGGAAGAATACATTAGCTTCATCCCATGAGAGTTGAAAATCAAATTTGAGACACTCCTAAATTGCTAATGTAATCCCATCTACTAGTGCTATCATAGATGCAGCTTCATGCTGTGAAATAAAATACCCATGTCAAGGAAATAACAGCAAGTTCACAAGAGGAGGGGAGAAGGGAAGTGGATTTTAGGAGGGGCCTTCATTCACTGGGGAAAAAACAAAGAGTCTGGCTTGATGGAAAGTGACCCGCTGGTGTCACTTGTTTGGTGTGACTGAGCACTTAGCACACTGCATTGTAATAGTCTCCATACTTTCTTGTCTCCCCCAGTAGGCCATATGCTCCCCAAGGCAGAGAAAATAACCTATTCACCCTTTTAACCCCAGAATGCAGCAGAGAGCCTGGCATTTAACAACTCTCTCAAAATTTATGTGTTAAGCTGTCGTAGAGGCTGGGGAGAAAAGAGGATGGAACCTGTTATGGGCAGACTGAGAATACAACCTGCATTGTGTGCCTAGTTTAGGAATTTGGAAGTGAGAATGGTAGTGGGGTTGTTAGAAGCCCAAAAGAAAAGTATAACGAAAGTGGGAACCTCAGGAGGAGCAGGAAAAAGAGAAAGGAATGAAATAGATTTCTTCCCCTCAGGGAGCCAAGCAAGATGGACACAGAAGCAAGAGCAGGCGCTGCAGCAGAATGGTACAAAGGTAATAACAGATGCTTCCCACCCTTTGGTGGGGGTTCCTGTTCAGACAGGGGATTCTGGCTGGCACCCAGCCTGTTTACCTGGGAACAGACACATCTCAGTCATTGGTTAAACTTGTTGGCACTAACTCTCCTGCTCTACTCTACAAAGGAGCGAAGCGAGAGACTCCAGTCTGACCCTGCATTGGAGGTGACGGGCAAAACCAAGGCAAGCATCTCCCGTAACGCTGTCCATCCTTGCAGGGCCGTGACACAGGACATACCTACGAGGTGGTGTTAAAGCAGCCTGAGTGTCGAGGGAGGAGTCAAGACCTCAGTTCTGAGAGCAGCTTACATTATGCAGACATTCAAGTGTGCAGTCGACCCCAGCCACACTCTGTCCAGCGCATGAAGCACCAGCAGTCAAGAAACAGGACAGAATATGCTATCCTTCGATTCCCCCAGGCCAAACGCCACTATGACAGCAAGAATGGGACGCTAGTGTGAGCTCACATGGGCAGGAGGGACCTGTCTCCACTGTTTCACCACTGCTGCTGTAGGGAGAATCTACTGCTTTGGAGAACTGGATGGGAGCCAGGGGATGGTGGCTGGCTGCATTTTAAGCTTAAAGAACTCAGGAGTCCTTAGAATTATGTGCTCCAAGCTTGCTTGCTTTCCTAAACCTGTATTTTATTTGTCCCTATTCTTTATCTTGGAGTTGTACTTGGATTAGCCAGAGGGGGATAGAGTCCCACAAAACGAGGGAGTTAGGTTGAATGTGCGGGGGAGATAGGTTTGAGACCCCTACCTTTGTTTTTGCTCTTAACAAAAGTGCAGAAAGAACAGGTTACACCTTAAACACTTGAAATGGTCTTGGACTCAATGGGCTCTCTTTCATTTTAATTCTAAAGCTGAGGAAGTGGCATTCTGGAAAAGCATTCTGAACTTTCATACAATGCCCCCTGTGCTGACGTGAGCAATGTCCTCAGTGGCTAGGTCATGGTCCCAAACCTAAACAGAAGAAAAGAGGCATGGTGGACATTTTCGATCGTGGCAAGGGCTTTAGGTAACTGTTACAGCTCTGAGAGCCCCAAAAACACCCGTTGGTAGGGCTGTTGGCTTTCACCACTGCAGAGCCGCTAGGATCAATAAATTGCATAAGGAATTGTCCGGTGCGTTTCTTGGGGTTTTCTCTGCGATCCCTCATCAGCGGGCCTCCCCTAGCCCACGTGCTTTTGGGAAATCAGCAGCGCTCGTCCCATTCGACCCGCCGGGATGGGATGGACCTGCAGGAGGCAGGCTACCACGTGCAGAAGGGTCACCTAGAGGCAGATCCGCAAGGGTAGGGGGCGGGGCCAGGATGGTCAGGCACAAGTTCACTGGGCCGTTAGGAGGCGGGTCTGGAGGAAGGGGGCGGGCCCGTAGCTGGTAGAGGCGGGGCCGGGGCCGGCAGGGGAGGGGCCACGGGCCACCGAGCCAGGCTCTAGCCGGCTGGAAGCTGGCCAGGCCTGGCAGCTGGCCTCCACGTCACCATGGCAGCGGGAACGAAGCGGCGACGCTGAAGCAGCTGGATGCCCAGCTCCGAAGGGCCGAGAATAGAGACGTGGAAACCAACGGACCGATGGTTTAAGAGGTAGGGGCTAAAAGGTGGCGGGTGCCTGGGAAGTAGTAGTAGCACCATTTGAGCACCATTTGAGCGTTCAGATTAGAACTGGGGGACACACGGAAAGTCGAAGGTGACATGAGTAGAAGGAGCCTCTATAGGTTTGGAGCCTCTATAGGTTCTTCGGGTGTAGATTTACAGAGCTTGGAGATGAGAAGTAAAGCACTTCCCTTCCTCAATCTGAACACCATCCTCCCCAGAGAAGGTTGGCCCTCTCTTTGTCCCTGAGAGGGAATATTCCTTAAGATGGTGGAGTACTGAAAATAGAACCGTAACACACACAAAATGTTGGTAATGATAGCAGCAACTTCAAAGAGTTTGGCAGTGAGCAGTAGGTGGTCAAATGTTGGCTGCCATTACTACCAACATGTCATTTTCCTAGTCACCGTCACTATTTCCTGGGCCTGTTCTTTGGAACAGACCTAGTGCAAGTGGATTCAGAGGGCAGAGAAATGCCACCACCACTAATTGGCAGAGAAACGCCCTCACCTATTTCCTATTAGATAGGAGAAATAAAAATAACTATTTCTAGGTGTTATTTACTCTATGATGGTCAAATAAGCTGATGTAGGTGATAGCACTTTGTAAACTTCAAAGTGCTATATAGAAATTTCCACCATAGGAGAGAAATGCTGCCTTCTGAGGTTAAAACTGGGTTTCTGAGAATGAAGAAAAGTGGGCTGGAAAAGCAGGTCTCTCTGTCTTCTCCCCATTGTCTTCAGAATCCTTCCTAATGTCTTTGATAAGTGTTGGGAGGAGGGAAAATGTATCCTTGCTTGGCTACTGGTAGGGAAGCAGAGGTCTTTATTAGTATTAAAACCTCAGTGACTAGTTTTGAAAATGCCAGTGGGTGGTCCTGTTGTGGTTGTTATATCTTGGACTGAACTTCCTGCTAATCAAGGTCCTATTTTTGATATTTCTAGATAACCTAAGTTAGTAGGTTTGGGACAGAGGCCTGACCCTACTAGACAGGTCTAGTTTTTGGTCTTTTTTCCTATCCTGTATTTTTTCACATTCCTTCCTTTTCTATTTTAAGGTGGACCTGATCCAGCTTTTCTAGGGACTCTGAAGATGGGGACCCAAGTAGTTAAGAGACTCTGTAACTCCCTCCTGCCAGCACAACCTTCCGTAAGTTCCTGCTTTACTACTGAGAGTAGTGTGATGACATTACAGACATTTGAGTATGGCTCTACAACTGGGAGATTTCTTCATCAAGAACAGAATTGTAATATATTTCCTTTTTTGCTGCCCTTTCTTGTGGGAATTCTAACTCACTCGACTCATCATCTTTTTCTGGAATTAGATCAGACAGAGGTTGAAAAATTCTAGCAACTAGTAAGAACATTTGCATTATTTAAAAGTTTTAAATAAAGCATGATAATTACTGAGCATTTGAGAAATATTACCAATCATGATTTAAAAAACCCATAATCCTCTCTGTCCACAAGCAATCACTTAATATTTTAGAGTATGTTCTTTTAAGTCTTTTTCTATCTATATATTTTAGAAACATTTTGAATAAAAAAATGACTATTGCTTTTTTAACATAATATTAATATTAAGATATTTCTTTTAATATGGGTACAAATGTTTGGTAAACATAATGGCTGTACTTTTTTTGTATTTTAAATCTTTTTAAAAAAATAATATAATAGTTTATTTTCACATCATTTTGTGCCTTTTTCCATCTCAGTTGTAACCCCGTGGGCTTCCCATCACCAAATTACCTGTGTGCCATCACCATAGTCCAGTGCACTTCCCTCCCCCCACTGTTTTTGATCCCATTCCCTATTCCACTCCCATGGAGTCTCTGGTATATTGTTGTTCATTATTATTATTTTCTCCCCTGGTCCTTTATATTCCTGCTATGAGTGAAACCATCTGGTATTTTTCCTTTTCTTCCTGGCTTATTTCACTAAACATGATCTTTTCCAGCTCCATCCATGCTTGCAAAAGGCATGTGTTTGTTTTTTTGGGGGTTGCTGAATAATATTCCATTGTGTATATGTACATCTTTTTTTTTTAAAGATTTATTTATTCATACAGAACTGGGGTACAGGTCAGAGATGTGGAGGGTGAGAGGATTCACCAGAGACAGAGTGGAGTACAGAACAGGCAGATAGAGGAAGTACACTGCTGAGGGGAGCAGCGGGCGGGTCAGGAGAGGTCTGCCATGCCATGTGGATCTCCTTCGGGGCAGGCGGG